TATGTACATCGTGGAATACTATGCAGCCATTAAGAAGGATGGAGACTTTACATCCTTCATGTTCACATGGATGGAGCTGGAGAATGTTCTCCTGAGCAAAGTATCACAAGAATGGAGGAAAAAGTATCCAATGTACACACCCCTATTATGAAACCAATTTATACATTTTATATGTAAGCTATAATCTAATAACAGCCTAAGAATAAGGGAAGGGGGGAGGGAGAAAGGAGGGAGGATTGGAGGGATCACTTCTGAGGTTTATTTTACAGAGGTACAAGTGAATCTTTCTAAGAGTAGAATGTGAACATTTTAAAACAATAACTGAGAAAATGACATGAAGGCTGTGTTAACCAGTTTGATGGAAGTATTTCGGATTGTGTGTGAAAACCCCACATTGTACCCCAGAAGTGCATTAATGTACATAGTTACCATTCAATAAAAAAATAAATAAATAAAATAAAATAAAATAAAATAAAATAAAAAATAAATAAACAAAAACAACCATCCACCCACCCCACCCCCCAAAAAACCAAGGGATACACTTGATGTCATTGGTAATTCTAAAATTAATGATCCTCTAGTTCCCAGTTATGGAACTATGGCTCATCATACTCCTCCTTTTCAAAATATCTCAAGGACATGAAGAAGACAATATAGTAATCATCAAGTATTATGATTACATTATTATTTAATAATAGCAGAAATTTTTCTTCAGCAGTACTTCTGTATTTCAGAGATACCTTAGTTGGTAACTATCCAGGCCACACAGCTAACAGTTTTGGATCTAATTTTAAAAATCTAATAATAAACAAAATCATGAAAAAGATCATAAAGTAAAACGTAAGACCTTACTATGAACCTGATTACTCATGAGACAGCTCGAAAAGCCAGCTCATTACTCACAGCCTCTAAGAAGCTACATGGTCTTTTTCTTTTTCTAAGTAGATGAGATACAGCAAAATGAAAAGGAGACTTTTAAAAATGAGAGGATAGGAGATAGGATAACAATGTAAAGGCAAGCACAATGATAACAACAACAACAAAAAATAACAGAGGGAAAAGACACAATTATAAACAAATTGGAAGAAAAGAATAATAGTTGGGGGCCATAAGAATAAGGGCAAACAAGTCTATACAGCACTTCGAAGCGCACCAGATAATAAGTATAGCTAAAAGAGTAGGCTATGGTCTCTGTGGCAGACAATCTTGGTTGCATATCCTACCTCTATTCTCCAACCTCCTTCTCCTCCTTTCAAACAGATGTCTGATTATGTTTCACGCATTTATCTAACTTCTGCAAGTCTGTATTTCTTGAGAAAGCTGTCCTGCCTCCAGCAGATAATACTGATTGATTTTTCATATTGTGGGTTGTGACCAATTAGTGGGTCATAAA